GCTTTTTACTACAATCTAGATGAGAACATACTAGTTAACAATCATTAAAATTAATAATTTTGAATTTATATATTAAATTTCTTATTATTTTTACTAATATATTTATAAACAATAATTTTATTTGAATCAACAAACTTATCAACATGAAAATAAAATATTTATTTATTTTATATACATGAATTGATAATATCAAATTAAAAAAATAATAATGGAAGCTTGCGGGTGCTTGGATGAGCAGGAATTCCTTTTGGTTGGTAGTGGAAGGGTATATAGCAGGAAATGAAACACCTTAACTGTCCAAAAGTTATTTTTTTAAGCCATTCTGGTCATTTGTTTCCATCTAAGACCCTAATAAATCCAACTGTTACTATGTTTTTATACTTATATGTTATTGAATTTATCAAGTATTTTTCATCATTCTAGCTAAATTGGGATAATAAGTGTATAAATTCACCTTATTTTCTATTCCTTTTAATTGAAATGAAATGAATGATTTTTAAACCAATTAAGCCGTATTAAACACTTTTTATATTGAATTTCATATTTTCTCGTGTAGGTTAATTTGGACTTTCAATAGGTCAAAATGTGAAATAGAGCCAAGTGGCCAGTTCTGAGACTTAAATCCTCTCCAATACTGCTTAACAAAGTTGCTAGGATAGGTTTTTGGGTCAAGACAAGCTGAACTGAAACTAAATTTCAGGAAAGCTATAATTTTGAGGTGCAAGTGGCATAGTAATGCACTGAGCCTATGGAATTGTCTCAAATCCTTCAAGAGATTCAGCTTTCATTTAAAATTAGAAGCCTCTATCCAAACCATCTCTAGTTGTAAGAAGATTCAGAAGGACCTACAGGTCTGTTCATATCCAACTTCCAGCCGTGTTAGTCTTATTCCAGCCAAGTGCAGTACAACCTGCAGCATGTCTACAGATTCTAGTTTGAAGCGTCTGCATAAGCCCAACTTCAGAAGCAAATCCAGAACCTTTTACAGTCTTTTTGCCTACTTTAAATAAGTAAGCAGCACTTAAAAGGAGTTCAGCAGATCAAGAATGCTAAAACTTGAACACAAAGTTCATCTATAGTCCTCAAGCACGTGCAGCACACACCAGAAGAATTTGGCAGCATCAACACTTCCAGCTTGCTGTTGTTTCTTTTTTTAAAAGAAGGTCATATCAAGAGTTAGAAAAATCAAATTGTGACGATTCAAGATGTTTTGAAAAGCCAAACGAAAGCTCTACAATTTTCATGTTTGCAGTTCTGCTCAGAAAGGACTCAAAAATGAGCCAAATGGCTGCAGTATTTTAACTACAGTATCAGTTTTACAGCTTGCTGCAGTTGTAGAAAAAAAAATTCATATCTTGGGGTAGATTACTTGGGTTTAGCTGATTTGAAAGGCATTGGAAATCTAAGAAGAAAATCTACAATTTTTATGTTTTGATTTCAACCTAATTCAAATCATAGACTGCCCAAATTGAGATTAAATGAAGAAATTCTGCAAAACTGTCAAAATGCAGATCCCAAATACCAAGGCCAACTCTAATTCCCACCTAGCTTTGAAACCTTCAGTCCGCAGCTTTCATAAAATGTAAGAACATTCAATTCAGTTTCTAGTTTATAGTTTTCTTTATGTTTTTGTGTTGCTTCTGTTTTCCATAATATTGCTTTTAGTTCATATTTAATTGCTTTTCTTGTTTTTTGTTTGTGAACTCATGTTTTCAATGTTTATGTTGTTCTGTTTTCTTCCTTGTTCAATTAGTGCACTTTTGCAGCCTATGCATCTTGACCAGAAACGGCCTGCAGCCAGAAAGCCCAGAGGACCAAGTGCCAAACTCCCCAGCCGTAGCATTCAAACAGAAGCAAACATCAGCAGAAAAATCCAGCCCCAGCAGCTCTGTACTGTCATGCTCCCTCTGAAATTCCAGATACAGACCTCAAGAAGCACCCATATCAGAAGCATCAGATGCTCCATTCAATCCCATCTGCAGCTCCAATCTTGACTAGGTCTGAATTGGAAGCTTGCAAACAGGCTCGCTCTGCAGATTTGAAGTCTTTGGCCCTTAGGTCTACACCAGTAAATCACCAGAAACAGCCTCCATCCAGGAGGACCAACTCCAGGACACTTGCAACTAACAAATCCAAGTGTTGGACTCAAAAACTTGCAGCTTCACAAGGAAAAATATGCAGTTCAACTATTGCCCAAGTCCAGTGGGTCAATTCAGTTCACAGACCAGTCGTTTTCAAGATTCAGAAAAGCCACATGCAGACTCCCATCACCCTAGGGACTTAGCCCAAGTCCTTGACAGCTTAGACTTGAAGTCTTGAATCCAGATTTCAGCATCCAAATCCAGCTTCATCCCATATACTTCCAGACTTGCGTCAGTCTAGATATGTTGTTTAGTGATAAGCCCCATAGAGGAAGTCAACTTGAGAGTGGAAAGCTGCAGTCCAGAGGCTAATCACATTACAGCTCACAAGAGCCTATCAAACCATCTCCAAAGCTGCAGCAGAACATCCCACTACATTCCAACCACTTGCTAGTAAGCACAAACCAGATGCTTAAGTCCACATACAGCGGCCTGCAGCAACTGCTGGTTTGGAGCCAATTTAATCCTCTAACTTCAAGCTGCTAAAATCAACAAAAGCTGCAGATCAGATGGTTGTAACAGGCCAATTTAAGGATTCTCCTAGTCCAATTGCCAAACCCACTTCAACACAAGGCCAAGCTCCAGATCCTAAAACCCAGAATGTCTAACCCCTCAATTAAGTCAATAGCTTAGTCAATCTGCAGATACAGTACTCACAGGAGCCATGAAGTTCCAGTTCACCCCTGCTGTCCATACATACTCGAGCCAACAGAAACCCAGAAAAAGGTGGCCAGTTCAAATTCTGCAGACCAGAACCCAAATCCGCTTTGCTCCAATGCAAGGCAGCACATCTGAGTTCTGCTTGCAGCTCAGGTGGATCAATTGGAGGTCTATAGCTACATTCTGCAACCATATCTCAGTGTCTTGATTAGTAGCCCAGCTCCTCATATCTGATTCAAGCTAACTGGAGCTTATTGCCTGCAAGAGTACCAATCTGCAGCATCACTCCTCACCCAAACCTAGGCCCATTTTAGCTTCAAGGCCAATGTGCCCATGCAGAATCCTAAAACCTGAAGTAGAACATGAACATCAGACAGAAGCAGCTCTCAAGCCTCTCCATTATAACACCTGCAATTCAAACTCTAGTCAAATCACATTAGCCTAAAGGCCCTGGCACATCTGAAGTCTGTATAAGGGAGAGGGAATTAACACTGCAGAATCAGCTCTCTGTTCAGATCCAGGTCCCCAGGCCAGCCCCAATTGGTCAAGCCTAGTAGCCTCATGGGCAGGTCTCCAGTAGCACACCAAAATTCCAGACCAAGCTGAATCCATATGCAGTTCTGTCCAGGCCAATATCAAGCAAAACAATCAGCAGTCTGCAGCTTGGAACATCAGAAGCTGTAATTTCGAGAGAGTAAAACGCAAGCTGCAGAGCATCAGAACAGCACACTAACATCCTTTATGCATTCAAGGGTTCACCAAGCAACCCAAGCAAACTAGTGATGCAGCTACAATTAAAAAATAAAATAATTTTCCTTAAATCAAAAATAAAGCCAGTCAACCGCCAACTCAGTGCAGATTGCTTGACCTATAGCTTGGCCTTCGCTTTTTTAAGGCTCACTCTACCCACATCTCTATCTGCCTCGCAAGTCCAATTTGATCATCCCAGTTTCAAACACTTAGTGGGATTCAAATAAGTCCTAGAAATCCATTTCTTTCTATTTCATCTTCAGTTATCACAATTCAGAATACTCATGGTCATCTTCCGTTTGCTTACAATTGTTCCCATCAAACTGATTCTTCTCCAAGGATGGGGAGCCACGAAGTTTTTGTAAGTGTACCAAAAGGCTATTTTATTGTTTACATGGGCGAGAACAAAAATAAACAATTCGTGATTCCAATCTCGTACTCGGGTCATCATTTGTTTCGGAATTTGCTAAGTCAGGCAAAAGAAGAACTTGGGTTTTTGATTATCCAATGGGCGGCCTCACAATTCCCTGCAGAGAGGAAGCCTTCATTGATCTCATTTGTGGTTTGAGTAGCTCATGGGACAGATTGTTGAACTCTTTAACACCATTGACCTAGCAAACTAACAACTCTGATATTATATCTCAGGCAGTGATGTATAAGTTGTTTCTACGTGTATAAGAGTTTATATATTCTCTGTAAACGAAGAATTCGGGTTTGATTACCTAATGGGCGGCCTCATAATTCCGTGAAGAGAGGAAGCCTTCATTGATCTCGTGTGGTTTGAGTAGCTCAAGGAACAGGTTGTTGAACTCTTTAACACCATTGACCTGGCAAATTAACTACTTGGGTTTTGTATCTGAGGCAGCTATGTCTAATTTGCTTCACATGTACAAAGTTTTATATGCTCTCCGTAAAGGAACATGGAAATCAATTTTATGCATTAGTATCAAATATCTTCCTCTGTAAATTTAACCCTCGTGCCTGTCTGTATTTGCCTTCTTTTTTTAGTTATTTTTTAATGCACCTGTGGTAAGTAGAATGAATCACCATGCTGTTGCAATTTCATAAAGCACAAACCACAAAAGCATCTCACTAATGTAATGACCGCAAAGACTTTATCCCAACCGTCCTAGTAGATGAATTTAACTATCTTGGAGTCGAAGCATATTTTTTGTATGCACAACCTACTCGTAGGCAAACTTCACTATGAAGTAAAGATTTTAAAGTTCCTAATCTTTTAACATTTCAGGCTTAAAAGGCAAGAAATATATAAATGTCAAAGAACCTGTATAAATAATACCTCTTTCACTTGATATATGTTAAACTACAGGTATAGAGCCCGAACATCAATGGAAGTTTTGTTGTTGCACTGGAATGACTAATCTTACTGATGCAACCAACATTTTGGTTCAAGAAACTTCATTTTATTTAGTAGCCATGAATTGTGGAATGACTGGTTCTTGACTGAGTTTGAAGATGCAAGTAGTGTCATAGAACAGTTCTATATATTTGGTTGATTGTATGCTTGGCAATCCATTCATTTGGCAAGCACTAGTTATCTAACCTCATTATTACCAAACATGATCACATGAAAAGATAACTCTTATTATGTTCCAGTGCTACCTGATCTAGAAAGAACACATGATTCAGTGTTCACTAAGTTGTGAGCCAGACACTGCTTGTCATAAATGATAGATTTTCTGTGGATGTTGCAAAGCATTCTACATAGATCTGACCCACTTATATTGTTTAACCAAATAGAGGAAGTCCTAATTACATGTGTAAATTTTAGATGGGCCTCAATTGTTGGTTTAAATGGTTGGGCATTATAAATTGCAATGTCAAATTCATGCAGAGTTTAGGGGGAGGCAGCCATGTGATACCTTAAGGCAATGTCGTTTGGTAATCCTCCGCAGATTTTTGTTCACCACTTGTTTCCTTTTTTGTATTTGTTCATGTGAAATTTGCTGTATATATATAATAGCCCGGTGCATATCAGGCTTATCATCCCAGTTTCAAACACTTAGTTAATTAAGCAGAAATCTGTTAGTGTACAGAAAGGCCACTTTGCTGTTTATGTTGGAGAGACCAAAAAGAAACGATATGTGATTTCCGATCTCGTATTCAGGACATCTTTCGTTTCAAAATTTGCTAAATCAGGCGGAAGAAGAGTTCGGGTTTCATCATCCAGTGGGTGGTCTCCCAATCCCATGCAGAGAGGAAATCTTCATTGAGACCTTGTGTAGTTCGAAAATTAATAATAACTTCAACAATTGTAATGCATAATAGATGTAGTCATTGTGCCTGATACACCACTTCAATCTTAACTTTGTCTCATTTATCTAACACTGGGGTTGAACAAATAATACAAACTTTCACAAAAGAACTACAAATTAATACAATCAAATGAAATAATAAAACATTTAGGTCTACCAGAATAGTAAAAGTTTTTAAAAATATAAAAAAAGACAATAATAGTAAGTGCTTATAAAACAAAAAGATAATGCTTTGATAAAGCAATGGTTGAAATTTTAATATTAAGATTTGATAGTAGACTAAAATTTTGGTGGGAGAAGTATTTTACACAAAATTGGCGTATCCAAATTCTTAATTCATTAAAACTGATAAAGAAGGAAAAGTTATTAAAGTAGAAGCTAATCAACCCATTCAAGATTCTATCAATACTTTAATCTATACCATAATTAGACATTTTAAAAGAGACACCAAGAAAACAAAACATAGATCTTTAATAATTCTTAATAACATAAGATGTCCAAAATTTCAAGATTTTACTTAGTATAAATTATTTTTACATGATGACTGGAGACAACTATACTGGAAAAAAAAAATTCATAGATGGTCCACCCAAACTTTTTATAGAAAAAGTTAAGACAAAATTGAGAAATCAAGAAAAAAATAAAAAAAATCAATAATGACAATTTAACTTATGCAAATATGTCAAACGTAATTAGAGAAACGGCTCTAGAAATATGTACATATTTTTAGATAAACCAAAATTTACAAAAGTAATTAACAACTTCTAGAAGAGAATTAGGAAATTTTTGTTAATAATTTGGCTTTAATAAATATACAACTTCCATTGAGAAGAAAATACAACAAAAAACCAATAAAATATCGAAGTTAAAAACCTAAAAACAAACAAAGAAAATTTTTACGAATCCAATAAAAAATTCTCCAAGTTCTAAATTGCAGAAAATAAAACTCATCTCGAGAAAAACCTATATTAACAAAAACTAAACCACTCCAACATGTTACAAATGTGGGAGAATTGGACATTTCCAAAAGAAGTGCCCAACCAACCAAAAATAAAATTAATTAATTCTTTGGATAGAGATGAACATTTAAAAAATTTTGATTCTTCAAATTCTAAGGAACAAATATCAACAAACTCTGAACATGAACTAGATATGTTGCAATCAAGATCTCAATTTCAAAACCACTCATCATCTACAGAATAGAACCATAAAGCAACATTGTACTTGTAATACAATCAATGTTATTTCAAATGAATAAGAATTGATTTGGGAAATGATAGAAGATACCAAGGATCCCCAATTAAAAAAAAAAAATTACTTGTTAAAATTACAACAATATTTACAAGAAAATACACCAAAAAAGATAGGTAAAGAACCTTTGAAAAATTTTTATGACTTAGAAGAAATCATACAAAGAACTAAAACTCTAATAAAACAAAAAACAATAACTATTGATTAGATTAATCAAGATATGAAACAACTAAAATATGAAATATGATTAATCAAAGAAGAAATGAACATGAATAAAATTGAAATAGAAGATCTCAAAAATTAAGTAATGATTCTCAAAAATAAAATTAAAGGGTAAAGAAGAAGTACAAGAAAATTTTGAAATATTTACACATTCAAAAAACATACAAGATATCAATTTATTATCTCAAATTTCATATCAAAAGTGGAATGTAAAATTAAAAATTATAATGAACAAATAATATACTCTCTACACAATAGCATTAATAGATTTTATTGTTGATCTTAATTGTATCTAAGAAGAACTTGTGCCTATAAAATATTTTGAATCAACAAAAGAAAAGTTATCTTCAGCTTATGGTCCTCTACTCAAAATAAAATACAAAATTTCAAAAGCCAATATTTGTAATCCAGGAATTTGTATTAAAACTCCTTTCCTACTTGTAAATAATCTTAATAAAGATATAATATTAGGAATTCTATTCCTAAATTTATTATGACCTATGATAGCATCCAGTAAAGGAATCTCAACAATAATCAATGATCAAAAAAATAATATTTGAATTCTAAACCCCCTAGATGTAAAAAATTTAAATCATTTAAAAAGTTTAGCAATATACCTGAAAGAATAGATCAATTCACTAGTAAGTGTAACATTTCAACCCTAGATTACATTAGGTTTGTGGCATTCCAATCCTAGGTTGCTTTAGGTTGCATTGCATATTATGCATACATGCATTATAGTATGGTTTTACATGGCTTATGAGATGCTTAATTTATGGAAGAATTAATCTAAACTTTAAAAAAATCTTTAATTTAATTTTTGCTTGTCTACAACTCTAAGAGAGGGGATAAAACTTTTAGGAGGCATTAATAGATATTAAGAAAAGATAGAAAAGGAAAATAGAAATTAAGTTAGAAAGGAAAAAAATAAGAGAATTGGAGGAAAAATTTAAAATTTTACATAAAGGTTTATGAAAAATAATTAAGTGAATTTAAGGCTAATGAAACGATAAATTTATTTTTTATGTGAGACTTATATTGGAGAGGGCTAGAAAGAGATTCCTTAAATTTTTTAGAGCTAAAAAGAAAATTTTAGGGTCACAAGGACCTAAAAATAATTAATTAAAGAGTTAGGGGTGAAATTATAATATTTAAGGGGGTCTAAGTCGGCCAAGTGACCGACTTACACTAGGGGGAGTACATAAACACCCCCCCCACCCCCTATTCCTGCGTGAATCAAAGACGAGAAAGCAAGAATTAAAAGAAGAGAGAGGAGAAAGAAAGATAAGGAAAAACAAGGCAAGGACTTAAAAAAATTCATGTTTTATGTCATTTTCTTTCATTTTTTCTTGTGGAAATTATGCAAGTTCTTGTGTTGTTCTTCTATCTAGTTGATTAAAAATCTGATTTTTAGCTATATAACTTGCTCAAATTTGAGAGGGAACTGAAATCTACGAAAGAAAAATTTAAGGACAAAATTTTAATATATGATTAGAACTAACTTGGGATTGCATTTTCCTCAAGTCTTTTAATGTTTTATGAGATTTTGTGAGGTTTGGAAGGAGATTAAGGTGTTGAACCTGAGGTGGCCAAACATCTAGGGAGAGCAAAAACATGTAGATTTTTGATGAAAATTGTATAGAAAGTGTGTAACTAGTTGTAGCTTGGAGATTTTGATGTTCTTATGACTGGGACGTTGAATTTGGTGAGAGTTAGGGGGCTGAAACAGAGAGGGAACAGGATGGAAAACAGAGAAAATGAGTTGGGAGGAAAGGGGAGTGAAGAAATTAAACCTAGAATTTAATCTATACTAAACCAATATAAGCAGGAAATTTTTGCAGCTTTCCTGCCGCTATGAATGGAGCTGGCCGAGCCATTAGGGCCCTAAAAAGGGGGCTAAATTCAAGGTTTATAGATTACTTAGAAGAGGTAGAAATTCACTTAGAAAAGGGAGTTAAAAAAGACACCAAGGGGAGGCTCAAATTTGAACCGTATAAGCATAAACATACTTAAGAAAAGAATGAGCTAGCAGCTGAATTTCCAGCAGGAAACTTACAGCATCAAATGAGCCATTTTGGGAGGAATATTGGACCTCAATAGGGCACGAACCAGGATAGTTGAAAAGACCAAACCGTGACCAAGAATAGATATAAGTTAGAAATGAAATAACATACAACACCAATCCAAACTTAGCCACTTAATTCACACAATAAGAAGCTGAAAATTCCGGCAAGCTAAGAACAAATTATAACCACAATATAACTTTAAAGGGCAATTAAAAATTGAGAGCGAAATCTAGGCTAGGCAAGGTGTAAAAGCCAAGAGAACATGTAAGGAATAAAACTAAAGAAAATACCAAAGATTAAAAAAGAAAAATAACAATTAGATTAATTAAACCACTTTGGCATGCATTTTCATTTCATCCTTAAAACATATTACTTACATGTACATCTGACTAAACTATAGGAAAGGGAGATATGCTCGTGTTAGACCAGGAGCCCCTAGTTCTAGAATCCTAGACATAGATTTCATACCTACTGTGAGTGGCATCTTCTTAATATCAGAATATTTTCCAAAAATGTGTTTGTCAACAAACGATAAATATTTTAGAATCATTTATATGTTGATACTAAGAAAAGGGAACCAACTCAGTTATGTTCTAATTTCTACTATGTTGCTTTGATGAGATGTTTTTTGATATTTTGTACTTTGGCACCAAACTTAAAATGCCAAGCAACTACTTGGGCAGGTAATAGTTCTACATGTATGATGTTATATGATACATAATTTGGATCTAGTAGAAGATCTTAGAGGTTGCAGACTATGTCAATTTGATCAAAAGAATGGCAACAACCCTTGGTGTAGACTACACATTACAGTAGCGTTCGACATGTTTTGTCCATTGTGGCCAAATTCATATTTTATAATTTTATATTTTACTACCCTCAGACATTGTTGATTGTACACATCCGACTAGAGTCATATACGCATATATGTATCACAATAACTTCTAAGGATATTCATATGATTTTTGCTGAGTTTTTCAAATATGCTGCAACTCTGTGCTATGACAAAAAAATTTCTATTTCTTCCTAATGTTATCTCTGTTATATGTTTTACATTATAAAATTTCATGAACCTTAGTTATGTATTGTATGATTGTAGAACCTTAACTGTTTTCACTAAGATTAGCTCGTATGGCATTCACTAGAACATTAGTCTCATTTCTTTTTCCCTCTTGTGGATACATAACAGGCTTAGCTAGTATACTTGTATAGAAGCACTTCTGGCATTGTTTTGACCGTGCTAGAAAGGTGGGGCTAGATCTCTAGTAGTGTTGTCTTAAGATTATTATTATTGTAGTAATATACACAAGGGGAGAATGTGTGTATAGCAGTATGGTTTGGTTGTACATATCTAACGCATTGTGGATGTTGTGTAATATATTACAAAAACTAGTTCGCCCTTGCATATAAGTATAACTC